GGGCTATCAGTCAGATTAAGTCTATATTAAATGATTTATAAATTTATTGGGCTTAAATGTATTTAGTAAGTGTCGACCTCCAATGTGCAGAAACCCGGTAAATTATTAATTGGGTGATAAGGTCAAGGGATATAAATAGGGTTGTGATCACAGGTCTAAACGCAACAACTATTACGTTCCATATCTCATCATGAGGAGTAATAGGCTTGAAGAACACAAAACCCTTCATTATTTGCAAATCTGAATCCGACTATGCTGAGGAATAAGGTTGGATTTATTTCGCTTTATTTTCTTATCTCAATTATTACAATACGTTAGATCATGAGCTTAGGGTTAAATTCCTGACAAGTTCCAACAATTGGTATCAGAGCCTTTCCGTGTTGAATTATTTTGAGAATTAATTTTTGCAAAACATCTTTGTTTGGAAAATTTCCTCAATCTTGTGAGCAAATTCTCATTACGTTGAAATTTTAATTTTGATTAAAGTCATTCCCTGCGCACCTGTTATTGGAATCGGTAGATACATGGCCTGAATGAGCCATTGGAATCCGCATGTGTTTGTTTATTTGTTTGTTACTGGAATACATAATTCATTAGTATTCATTATTCTTTAATTGAATTTATGGAATCATGTGTATATATATATATTGGAACAAGACGTGACATTGTAAACTTAGGGTTCTCATAGTATTTGTTTATATATCTATTTCAATAAACATGATTTCAACGAAACAATCATGCATGTTTATTGAAATAATTAATGGAATAATGCCAAAATTAATATGGAATCATGGTATTTGTCGTTATGGAACGAGATTAAGAAGCTAATGGAATCAGCCTTTATTGGTGAATAATTTCATTATTGTTTATTCCTAATTTTATTGGAATAATTCATACAACTATGGATTGATTGCATGTGTTTGTATTTAATTTATAGTTTTATTTATTTATCCACTTAATTTTGGATTTATAAATAATTTTTGGGCTAATTATTTAATTAAAATCGGATAATTAATTACTTCAATTAGTTAACTGCAATTCAATTATAATTTCATTGAATATTTGTATCCAATCATGAGTAATATATGCAATGGGAAGATAATTGCATTTGAGCAACTCTGTTTGTTTATATATATTTATTTATTTGAATCAAAATACTCTATGGAATGAGATGTGGTCAATCTTAATTGATATTGCATCTTGATGGAACATTCGGTATTATTAATTGATTATGCATGGAATCAGTACATGTCCATCTGCAAGCACATCCATCGCATGGGCGTTGGTTTATTAATCTATTTATCTATTTTATTAGACTTCTTTTATAGAATCATATTGGGGTATACTTAATCAATTGTAACGATATGGATTATTAAATCCAACGCAAACCATATTTATTTATTTATTCATTAGTGCTGATTTTATAAAATCGAATATTCATTATGATTCGTTCGATAGTCCAATTAAATTTGGATTACAACAACATGTATTTTGATAGCATGCGCTTATTCAAATTCGACTATAATTATTTGGTGTATTAATTTATAGTCTTTTTGGGTGGCATATTTTTGCCTGTGTAATTCCGCTGCATTTGACACTTTCTTGGACTGCTTGATTATTTAATGAGTCCAGAAATTAATTGCTGTTGTTATAGTTTTAATATGTATTGAACATACATATTTGATTTATTTAAAGTGAATTTAATTATCAATAAATAATATAATATATTTTATGAATTTGTTGAAACAATTATGTTGCCAAAGCAGCCTCTGTGTAAATCAGTTTATTTTGTGTATTTGAAAGTTGTGTTTGTGACTTACAAGGCTCCTGATTGACCCAAAGGCAATTAAGCCATTAAGTAGTTACATGCATATTTAGTGACATTGAATGTGGTGATAATAATTTAGTTATTTGTGTGTGAATAATAAATCTGTCCAAAGATAGGGTGTTGTTTGACACACTACTGCATTGTTAACATTCAATTGTCAAAAGTTTATCATTAGTGAGCCAGTAATTTGTCTAACGAAATTTGCTGATGTTGCTCGATAACTTGTGATAAGATTGCTAATTTCTTTCATAAATTCACATACGAAACATTCAGTAGCTTATAGACATGTGCATTCAGTTGCTAATTAGCATTTTTTATTTTCTATGGAATCAGACCCGTATATATTGAATATGATTCTGATTATAATTTAATTTAAGAAAATTATAAATTCATTAATAATGCATGCTGCGTTTTGACGGTGAAGATCAAGTATTTGACATTGCCAAAGTAACCTCTCTTATATAAGATTTTTTTTTGATAACATAAGTGTTTATGTGTATTTTAATTCATGTGATTATTCTTCGACCCAAAGGCAGTTGGTGATTGACAGAATGAAATATACATCTGCAATAATATGTATGGGATGATTATATAGATTTAACTTATGTGAATAGTAAATCAGTCCAAAGATTAGTTGCTGTTTGACATTACCTTATTATCCATATATGATTATTGATGACTGCTAGCAATCAATGTTATTGATCCAAAGATTGATCATTGATGTTGCACTTAGTGTCTTGGGATGAGAATGCATTATTATTAAGCTTCATTATGCTTCATGAATATTTATGTGTATATTTATTCAGTCCCAACACTGTCTCGGGACAACTTTAAGCACTAAAAAGAATCAATTTTGATTCATTTGGTTGCATGAATCTTGATTTGGCATTAAGAGTAGACCAACCCACTCATACGGCGAGAAACACTGCATATGAAAAACAGTTATTTGAGAAGCGGGATAGTTCCAACGCCTAAGTCTGATTATCATTAAGAAAAGCACTCCATAAATGTTTAGGAGTTCTATGTATGATGATATGGATTCCTTGTCGCAATTAAGAAACGTTCTACCAAAAGCGATAAGGCGGAAAATGAGTATTCTTTTCAAGAGTCTCATTAACATGAAGTACAACGACAAGGGAAACATAAGGGAGTACATCCTGAACATGTCTAATATTGCTACTAAATTGAGGGCATTAAGTTAGACATTTCAGAGGACATGTTTGTCCTATTGGTCTTGCTCTTGAAATTAATTTAATTTCAATACATAGACACACCTGGGGGTGAATTTTGGTGTAACAACTCACATCAGTTTGTCTATGCAATATTATTTTATTCGAAATCAATTGATGTTGAAAGATACATCTATATGAGTGACAACAAGAAAGTTCAAGTTGAAGTCATTGACAATTTTAGATTATTGCTGAATACTGGTTACTAATTGAATTTGGATGAGACATTTTTTTATGGTACCATCTTTAGTCGAAATTTAATTTCGATCTCTATTTTGAACAAACTCAGTTATCATTGTTCATTCGGATATAGAGTTTTGTCTCTTCCAAAATTCAAAATTCGTTAGAACTAGTACCTTATTTGACAATAATAATCATCAGTTGCTTAATTGTATGACTTTATATTATGAATTAGTTACTGAACATATTCATATAACTTCCACGATTACGGATCCGCTTAATTAGTAAAAAGCTTCCACATAAATTCTATAGTGAGCATATTGCTCATTTGAAAAGTGGAACCATATTTCGATACTTCGGTTTAGTGGGAGCTAATTAGTAATGTTCAAATACACTAAGGTTACTTTATTTTGTACTGCAGTATTCAGTATGCACTGTTCAGTATTCATTTTTAATTAAGTGTTCAGTTGTTCTGAATTAAAGTTAAGGTGGATCAGTTTGAAATAGGCATGTTAAGATCACATTACATGAAGTTTCCATATTGTGCATCTGCACTTGATCAAATCATAGGTTATATTAGTGTTGTGACCACTGATCGGTCTCATTGCGATAAATGCAGTGACGGCCGCTTTGATCCGCATTGATGTGATTTATAGATGAGATTGGTAATATACATTAAAGGATCTGATAGCAAATTTTTTCATGAGTTCATAAGGTTATTCAGTGTACATTTATCCAAGTGGGACATAGTTGGATTAAAAATCCAATTGTGGGTTAAATGTAACTATTTGGGCTATCAGTCAGATTAAGCCTATATTAAGTGAGTTATAAATTTATTGGGCTTAAATGTATTTAGTAAGTGCGGGCCTCCAATGTCAAGAAACCCGGAAAATTATTAATTGGGTGATGAGGTCAATTAATAATAAGGGATATAAATAGGGTTGTGATCCCAGGTCTAGATGCAACAGCCATTACGTTCCATATCTCATCATTGGAATAACGACAAAAACCCTAGCGGTTTTCTCACGAGGGGATGCGCCATAGGCTTGAATAACACGAAACCCTTCATTATTTGCAGATCTGAATCCCTATGCTGAGGAATAAGATTAGATTTATTTCGCTTTATTTTCTTATCTCAATTATTACAACACTGTAGATTCTGGGCTTAGGGTTAAATTCCCGACAAGTTCCAACATAAATAATATAAAAAATAAAAAATAAATACTTAAGAGAATATTTTGATAGAATTTTGGAAAAAGATAAAAAAAAAAGAGCATAAATGAGTTAGGGAAACAAATGTAGAAACTCCATCATGAATTCTTCAATCATAAAAATCCTTAATCTTCACATCAGCGTCTTCTCCAAAGTGAATGCAGCTGTCAATCTGCGACAAAATGTACTGAATGCTGCTGCACCTACAGAGCAGGAGAAACACATAGCGTTAGTTCAAGGCCAGCAATAGTCATAACCGACACTAAAATCGATTTACGGATAAATACACTGCCTCGATTTGAGCATGTGCAATGGGCTTTTATTAAAAAAACCTTATTCATGATCCGAATCCAAAGTGTCCAAGCCTGAGCAGAGATTTTTATTTTTTGCACTGCACAATAACAAATCAAAATTTCTCATTTTGATATATTATTTTTTTCTTTTAAAATTGATCTGAAAAATAAGTGTTATCTTCCTTTTTTCTCTCATATTGCAGGTTTCTTTTAAATCTTTCATTTTTATAATCTGTAATTGCTGCCGAGAATTGAGCGTTGAGGAAAATCTTCGTGGTTATTTTGTTTTGTCTCTCTTTCACTGATTTCGTTGTTGTGCTGTGAAGGGAGCACTCTCAGACTGCATTCTTTCCCTAATTGGGTTTTCTTTTTCTTATCGCAAGTCAGCCTCAACAATGATCCGAGGGTGGACCAAAATGGAATACTCGAACATCCCTGCAAAGTTGAATATGGTAAGGTAAAGTACATATTGATATAAACTATAAAATTCTAGTTTTATTAGGAATATTTATTTGTTTTGTTTTATGTGTGTTAAGATACACAGGATCGTCGTCTTCAATTTAGTGGCCCAAATAGGCCACAACAGGAAGTTCAAGGTGAATAAGAATCTATTGATTCTGATCAAATATAATTGTTTAACAACGACTAGAGATTGTTTTCTAAGCTCAAGAAATGCCGAAGCCCAAATGAAAAAAAATAAAAATAAAAATATTGTCATAGTTATAATTGCCTTGTCTGAGAACTAGTGTGGCCCATTTTATCTCAAAGTGCGCAAACTTCATCCATAAAAAAGATGCGTACATAGCCATGAAAATGATTGAAGCTGTTGGAAATGGTGGTGACATGTTTGCATTTTGATAAAATGCATTCAAAGCTACACAATATTTCTATTTTCTATCTTAATTGTGAATGATTGATAAAATGATTCTATTAATAGGTTCTTGATAGCGAAAGAGGCAACGGCTATTGTAGGCAGTTATTTCCATCGTATAAAATGAAGATAAGGGAAACCAAGCAAAGCATGTATTCATAGGAGAGGGCTGCATAAACATGTCTTCGATTTTCTCCACAAATGCAATGTGCTTGTGAGTTTCAATGAACTTCAAATCTATTGATCCTTTATTCAAAATTGTAGTTTTACAAAACGAATGAGGTTTAGAATTTCAGTTAGGTCATTGAAAATGCTTGTAGAAAGGTGATACCAATGAAAAGATTTAGTATCTATCGATTGAAAATGATGCATCCCATATCTTTTATACAATAGATTGCTCATAAGTTTTGTTGCTTTTTGTATGCAACCTAATGGTGTTACTAAACATTGTTTGCAATGTGGAAATGGCCATAACTCAAGTCCACACTTATGAATATTCTTTATCTTCTGCAAACAACATGCATCTCATACTACATTTACTATTTCATTTTTTGTGTGTTTGATCTAAGTTCTTCTATGCAAGTTTCATTATTCATTATTTTTTAATAGAAAAAGTAACCATCATAAAGTGTAAAATTTGCAACTAGCTTATCAACTACTTTGAATTATGTATAAGGTAATTGATTGATTTTAATCATAAGATGTTAAATAGTAGTAAGTGAGTGACATCAATGTACTATAAGTGCAGAAATTAGATTGGTTAAGAGTAATTTTAATGATCAATGAATTTTGAGCCAATCACAAGATTTACAAGTTATTAAATGTACTGCAGATAGAGGTTGGCAATACAGTGAATAGAGTTTATGAAATTTGCTCATTGGGAAAACAAATAGCCATTGTAATACCATGTAAAAAAGATAAATTTTAATTAAAGTTTCTCATTTTTGTAAAGAGGTTAGATATTTATTATATTCATGAGATGGACCAACTACGAGACAATTCTAATTTGTTTCTTCCAAACATATTCAAGGTAGCATGTAAATATAAGAAATCTCATGTCAGGAAGCCTTTACATATGTGTCTTCCTATATTGTAGCGACTAGGAAATTATGCATGATAAGCAGTTTATTGTTGATTCAAGACTGCAATTGATGTATCCTTGCTATTTAGCAACAATTAATATATATATATATATATATTTATTCAATGCTTTGATGTCCTCCTTTAGGAGCAAATAACCTTGTGCTGTTTTATGCGTGTTTGGATTTTGTTCTTGGGGCATTTATGCATATTTTTCTTCTTCTTGGCAAGTTCTTGTTGTGGCTGTTCTTACTATTTTTCCAATTGTACCAAAATATCTCTCAAATCGAGCATACCAACTTACCTTTGTAGGGACTGTATGTTCTTCGATATACATTTTGTATTCATTATATGGAGTAACATTATGATACAAAATTTCTTTGTCCATAATTTATCTTATGTTTGCTGATATAACTGTTGTGTGCAAATACCATGAGCTTGGAATTTGCAGGCTTTGCAAGTATGATTACAGTCAATGATGATTACCAAAGATTTTATCTACTCAATTTACATCTCTCTTGTATCACTTAACAGATGTGTTTAAATGTCTGTATAAAATATTAAACTCTATTGTTTTTTTTTTTATTTTTTATTTTTTATTTTTATGGTGCTTGCTTTATATTTCTTTTCCATACATAAGGATATAATGTTTCTCATTTGATTTTGTTTTCTTCGATTGCTCTAATTCTTGTGCTCTGTCGGACTCTTAAGCTTGCTGCAAAATTTATGACGCGTAACTTTACCAGATTCAGCTTGTACAGGTGAGCAATGCTTCACACTTTAGTTAATGTTGTGGTTTAGCATCGTGTTTTCGACATTGAAATTTTAATAGATAACACCTATTTTATTGATCTCAATTTTTGGTAGCTTTTGGATGTAGCTTTATGCATATACTTAATATTTTACTTAACCCAAATGTCAATGAAACTTTGTGAATTTTCTAGATTATTATTTACATAGGACATTCATTGTTTTGACAAACGTTGGATTTAGTTGTGTTTTTTTTAGCAACAGGGCAAAATTAAATAATCTCCTAACAGACATCATTGTTGTAACTTCAAAGATCTGATGGGATTGGATGTAATTGAAGTTTAATTGAGTTTGGACGTTGTTTGAGTTGGTTGTTTTAAGATGCCTTTTGTGATGTGTATCATCATTTTTAAAATCTATTTCTTCGGATGTGTATCATGACAAATAGTTCTACCCGTGAACTGATGTCATAATTTGCAATACCCGTGAACAAATGTGTCATATAAGTCATTATCATTGTTTTTTTTTTTTTTTTTAATCTCAAATAAAAGTCTTATATGTTATGATTTTCAACCAGGAATATCACTTTCTGATATGGCAGTGCAACATTTCTCCAAAAAGCATGCATAGCAGAGCAGAGCATCTACTCTATTAGAAGTGGAACTACAGACAAGCTTTTAGGAAATGTATCATGTGATTGTTGTACAATTTTTGTATATACTCTTACCATGATAATGGATACGAATTCGTCTATATATTTGAATTTTTCCTACTTTCATGGTTGGTGTGGAAATGCAAACTCGCACATTCGTATTCCATTTGCATTGAGTCTAACTTATTTTCTTTGTCAAAATCGTTCTCCAAGAAATTCCTCCAAAAATTTTATATGCTATTTGCCTAGTGGGAGCTTTTCTCTTAGCCAAATCAATGAGCAGTGACGACGAGGAAGCGTATACTTGGGATGAATCCGGTTATCTCTCGGCGGATGAACGTCGCACGCGAAGAGAAGGACGCCTGATCCGATTACATTTACTACAAGAAGAAGAACAAACTATGCAATGGTTACGAGCGTCATTACCGGTTTTATCTCAATTTGAAGAAGCAAATGTGGCTACATGGAGGAATTACATTTACCGGGATAGAGAAGGACGACACGAGGAGTTGTGGATGCTATATATAGACAATACAAAACAGACTCGATAGACTTAAATCTAAATAATCTAATCTATGGATAAAACAAAATCTAAATATAAATCTACTAAATCTAAAACTTGTTGAATAATCGGTTATTTTGCAATCAATTATTTTGTAAGTGAAAATGCGACGGGTCAGTGTACCAAATTAATTAGATTAATTTGGAAAATAAAGAAATATTATTTATTTATTGTGTATGGGGTTTGGTTAATATTTTGACTATTTTGCCTGTCTCGGGCCAAATTGTACAACCCCAAATTAAACCTGGGTATATGGCCTAAGTCGCAGTATTATTTGGATAAAATATTATCCGTTGGATAAATTTATTATAATCTCAAACGGAATGTTTGAAATAGAATAAATTACAATCGTTTCAAACGGAAGGTTTGAAATTAGAATAAATTACGATTGTCACAAACGGAAAGTTTATAATTAGAATAAATTACGACTACTTCAAATGGAAGATTTGAATTTAGAATAAATTATATCGATAATTAAGGTTGTAATTATGATTGTAATTGATCCCCTGCCATTTTGGCCGAGTGGAGACGCCTATATAAAGGGTCTCCCCTTTCATTCTAAACACTAACACCAACAATTCTCTCATATTTCTCTCATCTCTTCTAGCTTTCCGGCAACCTCTCCAACTCAGTTTCTCTCTCGTTTTTGTTCGTCGGAGCTCCAACGATTAGAGGTGTCACTCTCATTGGAGACGGAAACCGTTTTATGTTTGGGTTAGAATGCCAGCCATCGGAGGCACTACCGGTGCGTATCTAATTTTCGGGAAGAAAATCCATCCTCGACTTGGTTTCACAGTAGAGTTTATTCTCGTAATACCCCTGCCGAAGCCGCCACCGGAGAAGTTGCCGGAGCCGTCGCCGGAATCTCCGCCGGAGGAGTCGCCGGAGCCGCAGACAAGGTAGTCACTCCTCCACTTAGGCCAGATCCCTTTATGGGTAGCCCTTTATTTTCTGGATTTGTCCTTGGGGGATATGGAAGATTTATTGGGTTTGTGGCCGCACCATTTGCTTCATTCGCGGCCCAACCTGTTGGTTCTGGGCTTGGTCCACGGATGATGCTCCATGTACAAGTTCCACAACCATTCATATGAGTGGACTTTAAGAGGTGGCAGGAGAAGATGCTCTTCTACCTGACTGTAATTGGGTTTGCTATGTTCGTGTTGCACGATGGCCCAATCACCCCAGAGCCCAGTGCGAATCAGCAGACACATGCTAATTATGCATCGTGGACACACGGAGACTACATGACAAGAAATACTATATTAAGTAGTCTCTCTAACTCTTTTTATAATGTATATTGCAAAATAAAGAGTGCGAAAGGATTGTGGGATGCCCTTGAGAAAAAAAATATAAGTCCGAGAATGCCGGGTCTAAAATGTTTGTTGTGGCCCGGTTTATGGACTATAAGATGGTAGCTGGCAAGTCTGTTGTCGAACAAGTGGAAGAATTTTAACATATTGTTCACTCTGTTATCGACGATGAGATGCCACTACCATAAAAGTTCATCACGAGTGTGATGATCGAGAAATTGCCCCCGAGTTGGACCAACTTCAAGCACGGGCTGAAGTATGAGCTAAAACAAGTGGGGAATATTGTTAAAGCCAACTTGGTCGGAGATCCCGCCAAAAAACGTGCACGCCCAACTCAAACGGACAAGGGCAAAGCCAAACAGTCCAAGTTTATAGGTAACTGTTTTAACTGTGGTAAAATAGGACACCAGGTTAAGGACTCCAAGGCACCAAAAAAGAAGAAGCCGAGTTCCCAACTGGTCGAGACGAGCCACCGGACTGATCGTGATCTCAATAGTGAGGATCTTGTTGTTGTTGTGTACGAAATAAATAATGTGGAAAGTCCGAGAGCTTGGTATATTGACACCGGAGCAACCTGCCATGTTTGCCCCGACAAAACAAACTTCTCGACCTACAAGGAGACCGAAGAGAGGAAGCTGGACATGGGAAATCATGCAACTTCTGAGGTCCAAGGCGTAGGGAACGTGGTGCTGAAGATGACCTTTGAAAAAGAACTAACCTTGAAAGATGTCCTGCATGTGCCAGATATTCGAAAAAATCTCGTCGCAGGATCGCTACTAGTTAGGCATGATTTTAAACTTGTCTTTGTAGCAGATAAATTTATATTATCGTAAAATGAAATGTTCCTAGCTAGGGGTTATCTTACGAATGGGCTGTTCAAATTAAATGTAATGGCCGTGCGCCGAGCACCACCTACTGATAATAAAAATGTTGCTTTTTCTTCTTACTTGATTGAGTGTTCTGATTTATAGCATTGTAGATTAGGTAATGTAAACCTAAATACTATAAAAAGATTAGTAAATATGAATTTACTAAATATGAAAGAGGTGAACACTCAAAACAAATGTGAAGTTTGCGTGGAGGTCAAAATGACAAAATTACCCTTCTCGTCTGTCGAAAGGAAGACTAAGCCATTAGAGTTAATTCACACCAATGTATGTGATTTAAAATTTGTGTAAACTAGAGGTGGAAAAAAATATTTCATCACCTTTATCGATGACTGCACAAAGTATTGCTATCTTTACCTATGAAGGGAATAGAGCGAAGCAATCGAGGCCTTCAAGAACTTCAAAACCGAGGCAGAAAATCAACTTGACTATAATATCAAGACAGTTCGAAGTGATAGAGGTGGCAAATATGTGGCCCCGTTCGAAGAATTATGTAACAAAAGTGGCATAAGTCATCAGACAACGGCTCCATATTCATCTCAATCGAACGGTGTTGCAGAACGCAAAAATCGAACACTTAAGGAAATGATGAATGCCTTGTTGAAAAGTTCAGGACTTCCCCAAAACCTATAGGGGGAGGCGGTACTGACTGCAAATTATATCATGAACAAGATTCCACTTAAGGGTAAGGATGCCACCCCTTACGAACTATGGAAAGACAAGAAATCCACATACAAATACTTCAAATGTGTGGGGGTGCCTAGCAAAAGTGGAAGTTCCGCCTCCAAAGCAAGTCGCTACCGGCCCAAAAACGATAGATTGCATATTTATCGGATACGCACTAAATAGTAGTGCTTATCGTTTCATAGTTCACAAATCGGAAATCCCTGGGATGACCGAGGGAACTACGATAGAATCAAAGAATGCCACATTTTTTGAAAATATTTACCCTCGTAAGGATATGATGCAGTCAAACCCAAAATCCGTAGATGAAGAACTACGGGGCGTAAAAAGACAAATGGCCAATAGCCCTGATGAAGAGGTTTCAGAGCCTAGGCGTAGCAAAAGGACATGGGTCGAGAAAACCTTTGGTCCGAATTTTGTTACGTATATGTTAGACAATGATCCAACAACATCAAGGAAGCACTATCTAGTTCTGATGCTCCTTTTTGGAAGGAAGCAATAGATAGTGAAATAGACTCAATAATGGATAATAACACTTGAGCGTTATCTGACCTACCCAAAGGTTGCAAACCACTAGGGTGTACATGGGTTTTGAACAAGAAAATCAAGGCCGATAGGTCTATTGACAAATACAAAGCCCGTCTCGTTGTAAAAGGCTACAGACGAAATCGAAGGGTATTGCGATGCCAATTGGATATCCGATGCAAAAGACTCACTGTCTACAAGTGGATATGTATTTACGATTGGAAGAGGAGCTGTCTCGTGGAAATCCACAAAACAGACGTGCATTGTACGGTTGACAATGGAATCGGAGTTCGTCGCCTTGGACAAAGCTGGTGAAGAAGCCGAATGGCTGAGGAACTTCATAGATGATATTCCATATTGGACTAAACCAGTACCTCCCGTAATGATTCACTGCGATAGCCAAGCTGCAATAACAAGGGCTAAGAATGAAATTTACAACGGTAAATCCTGACATATCCGACGTAGACATAACACTTTAAGACATTTGATCACCAGTGGGGTTTTGACTATTGAATATGTAAAATCAATAGAAAACCTAGTGGATCCGCTAACCAAAGGGTTGCAGAGAGATCAAATGTACAAACTGTTAAAGGTAATGAGTTTGAAATCCACAAGATAGAGACAATTACAGTGGTAACCCAACCAAATCACTTGGAAATCTCAAGCCTTCGTTGAATGGGAAAACTAAGCTGTGAGAGTCCGGCACGAACACTTAATTACAATTCTTTGAAAAAAGCAATGAATGTTATAATGTGCAAAAGTGGTAAGGTTGAGTCAATAACTCTTAATGATCCTAAAGGTGTGGGTTAGATACCCTTATATACCTATATAAGTGTGAAGTGTGGACCGCTTCAAATGAAACACCTATGAATCCAAAGACGAGATCCATAGCCGAAATGGATCAAAACGTGAGAACAAAGTTGAGACTGAGATAGCGACACGACAATATTATTGACTAAGTGCACGTAGAGGTGGAACAGTTCAATGCATCACGTTAACTGGGCCACCAGTACACTCTGTAATGTTGACTATGGAAGGTTCAAAGCCAAAAACTACCTGTCCTGATGTGTCAATGTCTCACAGGGATTGAGCTAGGTTTCTTTCCTTTATGGGCATTTCCACTCATGTGGGGGATTGTTGAATAATCGGTTATTTTGCAATCGATTATTTTGTGAGTGAAAATGCAACGGGTCAGTGTACCAAATTAATTAGATTAATTTGGAATAAATAAATAAATATTATTTATTTATTGTATATGGGGTTTGGTTAATATTTTGGCTATTTTGCCTGTCTCGAGACAAACCAAATTGTTCAACCCCAAATTACACCCGGGTATATGGCCTAAGTCACATTATTATTTGGATAAAATATTATCCGTTGGATAGATTTATTATAATCTCAAACGGAAGGTTTTTAATTAGAATAAATAACAATCGTTTCAAACGGAAGGTTTGAAATTAGAAAAATTACAATCGTTTCAAACGGAAAGTTTTTAATTAGAATCAATTACGACTACTTCAAACGGAAGGTCTGAATTTAGAATAAATTACATCGATAATTAAGGTCGTAATTATGATCGTAATTGATCATCTGCCCTTTTGGCCGAGTGGAGACGCCTATAAAAAGGGCCTCCCTCTTTATTCTAAACACTAACACCAACAATTCTATGATATTTCTCTAATCTCTTCTAGCTTTTTGGCAACCTCCCCAGCTCAGTTTCTCTCTCGTTTTTTTTCATCGGAGCTCCAACGATTAGAGGTGCCACTCTCATTGGAGACGGAAACCGTTTAATCTTTGGGTTAGAACGCCAACCACCGGAGGCACTACCGGGGCGTATCTAATTTTCGGAAAGAGGATCCATCCTCGACTCGGTTTCACGGTAGAGTTTATTCTCACATTACCCATATATTCCAACAAAACTTAATATCTAAAATATCTCAACAACCCCCCTCAAACTCAAGTGGTATAACAGAAACTAACTTGAGTTTGATAAGAAAGTTGAATATAAACGCAAAAAGAAAAAAAAAGAACACAAATAAAAAAAAAATGACATGACTCCACCAGAGCCGAAAACGATATGACTCCACCGGAGCAAAAAACAACATGACTCCACTGGAGCCGAAAACGAGATGACTCCACTGGAGCAAAAAATGAAATGACTCTCCACAAAGTTGGAAATAACGGGACTTTCATTGCAATAAGAAATATGGATAGGGGGAAACGCAGCAGACATATCACAGAATTGCAGACATGCTTCAATTGTAAACAAAATTAGGACTCAAGACAAAATTAAAATCAAAAAAAGAAAGGGCTAGAAACTATAAAAAAGAATTTCAAAATTGGGAACCTCCGGGTACAATACAGGTTGAATGTACTCGGAGAAACGCGGGTTGGTAGGCTATAACTACGGCAGAAGAAAAATAGGCTCTGATACCATGTTAGAAATTTTGGGGGAAAATAATGAAATTGTCTTATTGATGATTAGAATAAGGGGCCTATATATAGGCAATACAAAATGGATTCGATAGATTCAAATCTAAATAATCTAATCTATGGATAAAATATAAATCTAAATATAAATCTACTAAATCTAAAATCGAATATCTAAAATATCTCAACAAAATTTAATATAAAAAATCCACTAAATACTAAGTGATAAATTAAGCAATATAAAATCCTATTTTTACGCTTAAAAAAAATCTTTACTACAAAAGCATAATGCAATACATTAAATCTTCACCTTGAATGTAGGATACAATAAAAAAAAAAGAAAAAAAAAACAGTATAATTACACAATAATTTACCTTCCGCAAAATACAAAAACATAAAACTTTCAATAGTTAAATAGACTGTTTTAATATTAAATCATTACTAGCAAAGCATAATGCATTAATATAGGCTAGCGTAGCAGAGTATCACTGCTAAATTTCTTGTACAAAAAAGTATGGTTTTTAAACAAAATAGCTAACTGATAGCTCAATACAAACAAAGCCGCTACGAAGCTTCACTAGTTTTATACACCAAAACATCCACAAAAGCAAAAGCATTACACTAAAATTCTATTTGTCATTCACCCTGTTTTATGGGTTTTCCATTGCTACGGATTGCCTACTTCAACATCGCCCTCGTTGAACAAAGGCTTCCTACTTTAAATGCACCTGACAGTTGCATCAACATTTACCGGATTGGTCGTAGTTCCCTCTGCATTTGCCAAAAGAGCTGCTTCCATCCCTATGTAAACACAACATTAGTTATATTATGAAATAAAATAACAAGTACATTTACGTACGATTATAAATACCTGTGTAGTGCTCCATTTGGTGCTTTCTAATTGTGTATTGTTTTTCCTCGAACTCTCTCATCAAATTACTATGATCCAACTCTTTCAATTTTTATAAGGCGGCTATCAACTTCTCTCCAATATTTTCAAGATCTTGAGTCATAAACCCAATTTCTCGAAGCATTTTTAGTGCATGCGGGAATAATATGGACAACACAAAAAAAAATTAAGACATAATGTAGACAACACAAAGAAAAAGGTATTAGGCCGTAACAATAATACCTTTTTTTCTGCTCTTTTAGCTATGCATTCATACCGTTCATCACGCTTTAACTATTTTCTCTGGTTGTCAACTTGGTATTCTGTCCATCTTTCACGGCTTGCAGAATCCAAAGTCATCAAACTGGTAATAAGAGTTCTTGTTACAGAAGCTTGTGAGTCTTCTTGTTTTTTTTTATCTTTCGCTGCTTTTGATTATTCATGTTGTTACTGGCCTTTGCTCGCTTAACACCAACAGGGCGTTCAACATCAATTGCAGCAGGCCCACCAAAATCTAAAGAAGCTCGTCCTTTATCATCGGGATCTTTTTCGATTTAAAATAAACTCGTACTCGGAACTATTGGTGTCACGGGAGAGGGTACTTCAAGATTGACGGGCACAGGAAATTCTCCGACAACTTTCTTTTCAATGTTAGATACCCACTCTGGTGTTTTTTTTCTCCGTATGCCAAATTGCAACCACTTAGGCTGGTCCTTTAAGATATGCCAACAAGACTCACACTTAAATGTCGATTGGTGTTTTCCACATATGTAACATTACAATAGTGTTCCTGTAAGGCAGTTCTCATTAGCATAACATCAACATTAAAATTATACAGAAAATGAATTGAAAAATACATTTTATTTCACTTACAAAGTCCACCGAGCTCCATCCACTACGATACTGCGGCTGTGCTTGCACTCTTATGGCAGACCACTTATTACACTGCGATCTAATTTCTATCCACCGATTCTCACATCCATAAGACGTTCTTTTATTTTCAGTTCTACTAACCCCATGATTTTCTTCCATAAGGACAATAAATTTATCATATATGCGCTCCCACACCTTTTTTCTTTTCTGACCAACACCAACACGGGCATCAGTGCCAACACTACACCAAGTAGTAACTAACTCTAAATCCTCGTCCGTGGTCCAATTTTTGCTTGCACTTTGACTTTTCTTTACTGACTTACCAATACAATTTATCTGGGAACAAGCTGCATTATGAATCAGGAGACGGGGAGCATGAAATGGTGCTGTATTTGCCTGGGATGACTGAGTCTCATGATATGGAAACTGAGAACGTATAGTAGGTGAAAAAAAGTCCACATATTTTGGTTGTATAAAGGATCATTGGATTGTGGATAACAATGTGTAGGCGCAAAAGAGGGGAAACTCATACTAAACTGATTCGGGACATGTGTATGTGAAGTCAAGTTCGGGCTACTACGCATGAATGAAGTTGAGTTAGACTGCAGTTGGGACTTGTTATTTGACTCAGAAAGATCAATTGTTCATCTAGCCTGTCTAGCCCACGATTGTCAATTTCATAAGTCATTTCTGTAAACAAATAGAAAGAATCAAAATTCAGCACTTTAATTTTACGCTACCAAAGAAAGACAATAAAAAAACACCACCGAACAATATATAACAACTACTACAACAATAATCAATGTTCTTTAACAATTTTAAAAATAAAAGATAAAATAAAATAACTGTTTTTGAAACCATTTCAATAAGAATAAAATTAAAAATTTCAACAATCCACAAAAATTCTAGCAAATCAATATGATTGGAGCTCCAACAAAGAACTCATATCACCTATTTACTTTCACTTCTGATATATTCCAATGCATTTTCCCGATTGACTAATCATTATGTTGCTCAATCTCCAACTCCATAAAATGAGACGTCTAGAAATTAAAACACATGCCACCCGAAGTAGTTGAATCATATGTGATATTATCTACCCTTGTCTAAAGATATTATATGTTACAAAATCATCCATGAAAGCCAAAAAATTACGAATATTTAAACATTAAGTATTTAAATAAGCAAAGAGTTCATACCATAAAAATATAAAGTACAAATCTTTCTCAATAAAAACTTCTACAAAATATGTGCACAAACCTCACACATATCAATTCTATGACTAGCACGGGCATGAGAGTGACAAAAGTTAATTCAAAATGAATATTGTTTGATGGCAACGTTATGTAATTAGAAAAAAAAAATTAATGCAGTGTATGAATGCATGCATAACTTGAGGATATTAGTAAAAGAACCGAGCAAATTTAGAAGCCAATAAAAATGTACCCACATAAGTACATTGATTCAATTCAGTTTGCAATTAGATCAAATAAGATCACTACTGATTGAGGTAAAACTTGGACAAAGTATTTCCAGAAACTAGGTTGTGATTTTGTAAGATTACGTTGCTGAATCTGCATCCAAACAGCATTTGGTTGCTCTAAAAACACGTAATACTTACTGAAAGACATAAACTTATTCGAAAAAACCGAAAATCAACATAGAAAAAGAAAAAATAATACGTAAGTTCCAATCTAAACACCCATCAAAACATGAAAACTCACCGAATATGAAAATTAAAAAGAATTTTAATATAATCCTCAAAAAAATTGAAAAAGCCATAAAAACTAGCAGACTTATTAACGATTGTAAATCTCACTACGAATAATTCATTTACTAAAAAGATGAAGGAAAAAAAAAGAAACATTACCGCGACCACATACTATGTTTTTCCTCAAAGAAAGTTGCGGTTGAAGTCAGATTAAAGTTGCCCAAAATAGAATTGCTCCTATCGGTTATGATTGAGATAGTGGGCGAAGTTCGTAACAGCGGGGAGAAACAAAGAGAAAGAGAAAGAGAAAGAAATAGATTTTTGATTCGGGGAGAAATAGAAGAATTTTGTGAAAATTTTTTTTGAGAGAATCCTATGGAATATGGAAAGATTGGGAGGGAAAGAGAAGAAAAAACATGCATCGCCCTGACCTTGGCCTCTGCTTCACCGAGGTTCTCCTAAGCTTTGTCGCATCAGTCGCCTCTAGATATGATCCATTGTGGAGTGATTTTTTAATCTGATCTCTATTTTCAAATGAGAAGGCCTCCAAATAAGGCCCATTGCACGTGCTCTTATGTCTAAGGGTAAATGCATCGTAGTGATGGCATGGATCATCATCATTTTGACAAATAGACCATCATTTAGGCAAAGTGCTGAAAGACTTTGGCTTTGTTCACTTATGTTTTCAACATCCTTTTCACATTATGCAATCGACACTATATATTACCTCCATCTAAAAAATATGATTTACCTAAAAAATCACATCCAATCACTATATTCCACTCCAAACAATTCAAATCAAACAACCGAAAAGCCCAAACCATTGGGATACACAAGTAACCACACCCCAATAATTCTAGATCAATTTATATATATATATATATAAACAAGTAATATGCCATTCTTAATATAAAACATGTTACTTAAAATATATATATATGTATATACATTTATTGCTCAAATACTCTTTGGACCGAAAATTGTACTGGCCTGGGGATAACTTATATTTAATCAAAGATTAATAGTTTTATTATCCAAGATAACCATTTCATGTTATGACATTGACTAGCATTAGTAAATGGTCCTAGCTTGATAGCAGGCAGCAGTTGACATTTTCAATTGTAGACTAAAAACGCTTATAGTAAAACTGAATGCTAACAATGCTTGATTCATCGTGACTATGTTTAGTTAAAAGGTTAATAGACACTCTATTTGATAATTACTATAATATAACTATTATACTATCATTGAGAGTAAACATACCCTAAGTTGTTTGTATATAAATTCATTAAGTCCATAGTTGTCGATAACGGATAGCGATGCATAGCAGTCAACATCTAAAATGATATATCGGGATAGCGGTATAACCGCTATTTGAATATTTAAGAATATATAAAAATTATTATATTATATATGTTGATGTATTTTTTCAACAATAAAAAAATAAAATCCGAAGATAAGGAATTATCTTCGAATTTGATATATTTAGTGTCTGAGATTAGGAATCTCTAAACACTGTATGGTACAGAAAAACAAACTGGAAATAAAAATAATGGAAATTTAAATAATGATCCCCGAATCACTAACTTTGTCTTCGTTTAAAGATGATTGGAGATGCCCTGTCAGTTGCAAATCCCAATCCTTAAATATTTTTCAGAAATGGTACTGGAAACCGTCGCCCAAACGGTTACAACGCCTCTTTTTCAACCGTCTGTTAACTCCTCTTCTGCTGACACGTGCCCTCAGCCGACCAAACTATTACTCTCATTCGCTCTCAACAGTATCCGACCTCCGCACCAACCGATTTGCCTATCCATCCACGAATCTTCCGACTTCTTGGACCGACCGCAGACCTTCCGCCTTGCTGGTCCGATCCCAAACCTTCCGACTTATTGGTCCAGTCGCAAACCTCCCGACTTACAGACTATTCGACTTGTTTGCCCGACCACAGACCTTCCGACTTGCACATCGTCCGACCCACTGACCAACCGACCTGCAGACTATCCAACTTGTAAACAGTTCGGCTGGCAGACTTTCCACCTTATGGACTACCCGACCTGCGGACCTCCCAACCTACAAACTGTCCGATCTGCAGACTTTTCGACCCGTGGACCATCCGACCTGCGGACCATCCGACCTGCGGACTTCCCGACCTGCGGACTTTCCGACCCGCTATTTCCTTAGAAATATGTCTATTTCACCTGATTTTCTTGCCACACCCCTTGATCAGTCCAACAAACCCAATTGTAGACCCATTTTTTTCCTTTTAATTTGGACTTTTTAACCTAATTATAAATTTCGTGCGTAACAACTTGCCCGCCGCCATCGGACTTTCAAACACCATTCCTCAATCGCCGTTTGGAAGTTCGTAAACCACAACCCCACTGAGGAATTGCTTCTACAACTGTAACCAGTTACTGCAACACCTTGTGTGCCACAAAAATCTCCCTTCTTCAATACTGGCCTTTGTTAATCGCAATCTCTGCGACCCCAAACCATGGCAAATCAATACATTCCTGCACTTCCTTTCGACGGATCAATCCCTGAAACGGCTTTCGTGGCGACGAAAATGCTTACTCCGACCATCCGCCCATACTGCACTTCCTTTGAAGACTCCAATCAAATGAGAGAGGTCTTGGAGGCAAGAAATCTACTGCTATCAACAATCCCAACTACAATGCTACCTGCCTTCATGATAGCATCAAAACTCATTTGACAGACTCCAAAGATCCCTACTGCACCTGGTACAAAAGGGTAGCAGAACACTTCCAGGACCAATGGAAAAATCAACACATCGACCAAGCCATATTTCTGTCTACTCTCCCATGTCATTTACATGAGAAAGTTCTTCTAGCAATGTCGGCGTTCTGGCACCCTGAGATTAGCACCTTCCTTCTTCCAACAACCCCCATTGGTCCCACACTCATGGATGTGGCCATGATCGCTCATTTGCCAATCGTAGGAGAAGACCCTGTAATAGGTGCCCTAGACGGACAAGAACCCAGTGCAGACCATCCAGGCTGGTCTCTGGCTAGCATTAAGGAATGGGGCTGGACCAAATTTTTAAGTGATCAGCAAGGAGCAGACAATACCCCTATCACCGACCGTGAGCATACTGCCTTCTTGCTCTTCTGGCTCTGTAGGTATGTCATCGTTTCCCCTTCGAAATGTGTCCTTCCCTCTCATCTTGACTTGGCCATACATATAGCCTCTAGTCTTCTTCTCTCTGGGCACTCTTTTCCTTGCCAATCTTTTTTAAGGATTATCCAGGGTTAGCACACGCCTTACAGAGAAGGACGGTAAAAAATTAGATACCGCTGCGTCGGGTCCTTTTTGGTTTTTAGAATTGTGGTTCCGTCTTTATTTCCCTGAAGCTTTTCAACTCGGCCACCCCCCTGTTGTGCTACCACCTGACAAATCTCTAGGAATAACCCTTAACCGAATTTGTTTAGGTCGCAACAATCTCCAAGCATCCGACCCTATCATAACTGCCATTCTAGCAAATGATCGAAATAAATCCCGATTCTATATGTACCGAAAGTACATAGGTTATGCGTCTGGCCTATTTTGGCCATTCCCTATACCTTCGCATTTGTCCGAACAGGACCCATTTCCGCATCCCACTTATTCCTTCTCCTAGGATGCTGTTCTTAAGCCTAGGTCCTTATTTGTTATGAAGAAAATTGATAAGAAAGGCCCCAAATCATTTTATACTTTCAACTATCAGCCTCAATTTTTGGCACGCCAATTCGGATGCCAACAAGACTTACCTGGTCCCATCGCCCATCCACATTTAATAATTCAAAGTCCAGATGGGAGAGTCATTCCTGGTTTGATTACCCCGTATGTATCCCAGCTCACCAATTACATAACTTCCAACTCCTACATCCCTTTCAGAACTTCTCCAACTTTAATTGAAACCTTTCGCGAATGGTGGTCGGTCACCTGAGCCTTAATTGCTCCCTACAAAGATCGTCTGTTGGGCATCCTTTTACCCCAGCCTGCGCTGATATTAGGGGCGACCCCACTGACCAACACCCGAAGGAAATTAATTACTCAGATATCCTAATTCAATACAACTTTTGTACCTAATATTTTATTAACCATCATTCTGATATCTAGGTCCGACTTCGGCCAGACGGCCCAAACTACTCCAACTCCAAACAAATCATCAGAGTCACCAACTGACCAACTTCATGCGCCTGAACCCCCGACCAAACGCCAAACCTTAATGCAGGCGCCTTCACCAGCCGAACTGGCAACAACAAGGATTTCATCTAACAGTGAGGCGATTGCTCTAGAGATGGGTAGGTTTCCTTATGTAGCTTCAGCCCCATCTCTTCCTGCTATGGCGCCAACGGCCATGCCTGCGTTTACTTATGCTACAGTCGCCTCTAGTGCAACCGCTTCTGCTGCGGCTGCCTCTGCTGCAGTCGCTTCTGCTGCGGTCGCCTCAAAAGACAGAACTGTCCCTGAGGCGGCCGTCCGTGATGCTCCCGACGAACTCGTTGTAGCCGCCTTAGATGCACCCGACCAAAGGGTAACAGACTTAGGAGTAGCCAACCTAGGGGCTGCCAACTTGAGAGTAGCAGACCCGAGGGCAGCGGACCCTCTTCCAGAAGCAAACAGACATGAGGAAGAACCCGCAACTGCTCAACTGAGGGGTCTTTTGCAAGAATTACAAGAAATCCCCTCCTCTGATTCAGAGACTTCTGTTAACCTGGTAAACGCTCAACACCCTCCTTTCCAAATTACAAGTTAATGTTTACATGATATTAAATACACTACATTCCCAATGTTCAGGGACCCAAATCCAAACCTCAACGTCCGTTTGAAGCAGCCAACGAATCGGTTATCGAAGTACCAGTCGCTCATCCTTCCAGACCTATGGCCATTCTGGCACCTTCAGTGACCACAATCCGTCCAGAGGTAAGTACAATTTTCACACTCAATTCTCAAAATTTGTGCTCCATTTAGTCTGAAATAAACATCCTTTCCTCCAGGGATGTTCTGATCTAGCCCTCTTGTCGGCTGTCCCCATTCCGACGGACGTCCGAACTATAATTGCACAGGCTGTTGACCAATCTTTCCCCGACCTGGGGTCAGACTTGCTTGACAGCCTCCTTCAAGCCATTGGTGGTCTTTTGTTTCAAATGTCTTCAGAGTCGGCTGCTACATCCATTCTTCACCGGCTGATGGAGCGACTATCTGAACTCCGAAATGAAATTTTGTTCGCTCAACTTTTGACAACTGAGACACCCTTGCCCGACCAGGATCGAATAAATCTGGAGGCTTCCTTGACCAAAACCAAAGAATCCATTCAACAAGCACTGCCCGACTAGAAGGCCTTAATAATGCCAAAACACAAATAGAAGAATCAATCCAACAAAGAGAAGCAGAACTTAGGGCGCTTCATCAAGAAAAGTCTGTCCTAGAAGGCCACATAAGCGATGAGCAACGCCTGATTGACCGGTACAAGACCAATGCAGCTGACCTGGACTAGGAATAAAAGATTCATGC